TGTTCGTGGTACAATATGTAGAGCATAAGAAAAATCAGGCTTCATTATTACCTTGATTTAATTGTCTTACTAGTTTTCTAGATTTTTTTGCTTATTATCGTGATTTGATTGTTTTAGTTGTCATTTGGTTGTTAATTTATCTTCTTGAGATTCTTTAAATGTTACATACATTAATAGGGCATTCTTCTCATTAATGCAGCAGCCCCACGGTGGGCCAAAGCCTTCTGCCTATTGGCAAATTTCGAGACAAGAGATGTTTTCTTTTTACGGTGTAGGGTTGCCAGCCTTACGCCCAACTCTCTACAGGCATATTAAACCGAGACCTACAATTTAAAATAAATTCCGAACTACTACAAATATCCCTAACATCGCCGGGACTCAAATCCGAAACCTGTAGCACCGAGAGCCCGAAACTCTGCCATCAAGTGTCCAATAAGACATTACATAACATATTTTTAAAGTTATTTAAAAGAATTTCAATAAATTCAATTAAAATCCTTCTTCTTTAAACGCATTCAAGAACAAGTGAGAGTTTATTTTTTTTTTTTTATTTTAAAATAGGATGGGAAATATTATGAAATGATAACATGAAAAAATCTGAGAGTGTTTCTTTTTCATCTATTTCTATCTTTTAGAAATTATTTTCATTACATCAAGTACTGTTTTTCCGAGGAGTATAATACAAATACTCCCTGTAGGATGAAGAGAATTAAATAACTCCTTTTTTATTCATTTTCATGGGTTCCCCCCTTTTCGAAGATTTCACAAGATCCTACATGAAAATCCTACATTTGCCTTCCATACGAAAGGCAAATTAGTGTAAATTCCCATCAAGCAGTACAGTTAATAATAAGGATTGTTTATACATGCTGTCACAATTGAAGTTCTTAAAAGTAGCAACTAGTACAAAAAAAAAAAAACTATGCAAGAATCGAACTGTAGTATATTATACTTTCTAGTTACGCATACTACAATTGGGTTTCGAGTCTGGATTAATTTGACATTAATTCTAAAAAAAAAAAAAAAAATCATCAAATTATCTTTATGTGCTATCCAACAACTGGGGCCTGATGGCCGAGTGTCTAGCGCTCGGTGCCATGTTTCGGGTTCGAGTCCCGACGATTCCATGAATGTTTGTAATGGTTCGGAATCCTCTTTAAACCGTAGATCCAAATCTAATATGACTATAAAGCGTACGGTTGACAGCCCTACCTTTTAAAAACAAAGCATCTCCTGTCTCGAAATCTTGCCTTGACCCACCATGCTGCCGTTGCACCACCACTGATGATGATGATGATTTAACAACTGCAAATATCGCAACACAAATGCCCTGAAATTGCATAACCAACATTTTACATAAACACACATACACACACACAAATAGCGAGAGACACAAATACAGCATATTAAACGTCGTTTGTTTATCTATATAATAAATAATATTTATCATAAATTATAATGATAAAATTGCAACATTTCTAATAACAATTGTTATTTATAGTCATGAACAATTTTGTGGGAACTACTATTCATTCACTATTTTTTGTCGCTCCCATAAAAAATAATTTCTACGAATCTGTTTCTTCAGTTAAGAAATAACTCTATTAAGAATTGCATTCACTGGACTAGGGCAATTTTTTTAAACAATGGTGTTTTTAGTTTATTCATTTATGCATGAAACAATATAATAACAAAAACTTATATTTATTTTTTCGTAAATTACTCACTAAAATATGAATCAATGAAATTTTTAAACCGTAAACTTCTATTGACCAGCGAAAGTATATTTATTGAAAACTAACATTTCCGTGATAAAGCTAATGTCTCGGTTGAATGAAATTGATCGATTACCGTGAAAATGAATCAAAGATATCCAAGAATTGATTTCGACGTAATATTTATTTATAAATTTAACTTGAAATTATTTCCCCGAATTTGATAATAATTTTAGCAGTTATATATTTTACGTAAGACAGGAAAATAAAAAAATCGATGCATTTCGATAATTCGATTCGATTTTTAGATTTAAAGCATGCTTCTGCAAAAATTTATTATATTGCTTATGATTTTTCAATAGGTGTATAGCAACAATTTAAAAATATTGTATATTTTCCTCGTCTATATTAGATATTAGAATTCACTCAATATTAAATATTAGTATCCACTGAAATGGGTGGATCTGCTTTTAAAATATATTTTTCTAAAAATATATTAAACATCAAAAAGAGCTAAATATTCAATTTTTAAGTTTAACATCAAATAATGTCAATTCTTGGATATCATTGATCGATTTTTATAGTAATCTATACATTTCATTCATCCAAAATGATAATATTGGCACAACTTGCTGTTAAATGCATCAAAATTTGTAGTGTGGTTCATCGAAAACAGATAATTTTATACCAATTCGTTTACATAATATTAAGAAAGATAATAGTTGAATATAAAAACAAATAAAACTATTTATTAATTTAGCTACATTGAAGGCTTCATTAAATTTAACGCTAATAGTTTACTATGATACCCTTTCTAAAGTATTAATATTTCTTCTAACTATAACAATTCACAAAAACACTACAAAAAAATGTAAAAAAAAAAAAAATATTTGGAAATTCACAGATATAATATAAAAATTCGTTAAATTTCTATATGAAATTAAATGAATATATAAAGGCTTCGTTAAATTTAACACTTCTATGTGTAAACTTCGTGAAATTTAACACTACTATGTGTAAACGTGAAATTTAACACTTCTATGTGAAAACTTCGTTCAATTTAACACTTCTATGTGTAAACTTCGTTCAATTTAACACTTCTATGTGTAAACTTCGTGAAATTTAACACTTCTATGTGTAAACTTCGTTAAATTTAACACTTCTATGTGTAAACTTCGTGAAATTTAACACTTCTATGTGTAAACTTCGTTAAATTTAACACTTCTATGTGTAAACTTCGTTCAATTTAACACTTCTATGTGTAAACTTCGTTAAATTTAACACACTCGCTACACATTCGGTACACTTCTTTATATATTTTTTTTCTCATGATATCACATAAATGAAACATTTCAAACATGAATCTTACTTGTCACAAATCTACAACAAAATTTTGTAACAGATATATTTTAAAATTTAAAAGAATAACTTGAATTATTTTGTATCCATTTTTAGTTAAACTATGCTATACTTTTTTTAAAGTATAAAATAAATGTGAAAAAGTAGTAAGAAAAGGCGATTTCTTTTTAGTAATCAACAATGTTTCTAGCATTCATAACAATGAAATCAGTATCAGCTCATTAGAAATAAAAGAAAAATTATACTATCATAATTAGTTTTAATAGCAAAGCCATGTTTTAGAGGATCTGTGCCTGACAGTATTATTCTTCTTCATTGGCTCAACAGCCCCATGGCGGGCCAAGGCTGTCTGCCTACTGGCAGATTTCGAGACAGGAGATATTTTTTTGGATAAGATTGTCAGCCCTACGCCCAACGTTCTGCATTCATATTAGACCGAGACATGACATATCATTTTAAGTGGACTCCGAACCACTACAAACAATCATGACACCGCCGGAACTCGAACCTCGACACCGAGCACTAGAGCATTAATCATTCGGCCATCAGACCCCACAGAATCAGTTCTTTTAGTAAATAACCTTTCATCTATTAGCTTCCAAACTTTCAATATAGAAGAACCTGATAGGAATTTTTTTTTCAAATATTATGAAAATATTTTTCTTATGCACAAAATAAGATTAAATACCTTATTTTATGTCTTTTTATTTAATTTTATTGCAGAATATTTATTTACAAAAACATAATAAGTAATTATATTTTTATTTATAATTTAATTTAATTTCATTATTATTGATGAAATTTCACTGAATCAATTGTATATGGATTATTTATGAATTTATTTATTTATGAGCATCGTAAATACGCATTAATTATATTAAAATACCTAAAAAATTAGAAAAGCATTAGAATAAAATAATTCGAAAATATTGTGGGAAAATAATATTTTCATTAACCAACTGAATAGATTTTGAGCAATGAATTTAGATAACTTGTATATTATATTCAAAAAGGATAACCTTTTCCTTTTACAGTGCAACATTTACATATAAATGTATTTGCTTGCATAATTTTAATATTTATAATAATTATAATTTTGTAATATTATTTGTAATATTTGTAATAATTATACTACAAGTATTACAAAATTAAATTATTTAATTTAAATAATTTAAATAAATATAAATAATGAATTGTTTAAATTATTTAATTTAAATTTAATTAAAATTATTTATTTAAAATATTTTTATTATTTTAAATTATAATTATTTTGAAAAACAATAATTGATAATGAGATGACAATAATTAGAATGTAAGACAATAATTATATAAATATACATGCGATTTCTTAGAGTATTATTTATTTTTAATACTTTCAGTATACAGACCTTTTTTGGAATAATTATTAATTTATTATTTGGATTAGTGTAAAATATTGATAAATAATATGCTTTTCTGTTTTTCATCAAAGGCCTGGTGGCAATGTAACTAACGCTCTGGCCTTTGGGATCTTAGGGTTCAGGTTCGAATCCTGGTGGCAGCATGGATGTTTGTTAGTGTTTCGGAATCCCCTTTAAACTGTAGGTCCTTTTAGCCCTCGTGTGCACAAGATTACCGTAGAGCGACAAACCAAACCAAACTGTTGTTTGTTGTTTCTTATCCCACTTGGCTAGCCAAGCCCACGATCCCATACGTACTCATGGTTTAAGGGGAAGGAAGCAACTTCTGTTGTGATGGAGCACCCGTAGGTAGAAGTCTGACTTTGTATCCGTGACGCTCTTACAGTCATAGGAGACCGGGACCTACGGCTTAAAGTGGATTCCGAACCACTACAAACAAGCATGGCACCGCCGGGATTCGAACCCGAAACCTGTTGCACCGAGCGCTAGACACTCGGCCATTCAGGTCCCAAATTTGTGAATGCCAACGGCACGCGGTGTTCTCCCAGGTGGTCACCCACTCCATCTTAATTTGATACTTGTACTGACCGCGCCCAATGATGCTTGACTTCGGTGATCTAACGAGAACCGGTATATTCAGCATGGCATGGCCGTTGGCAAAAACCAAACTGTTCTTCATTAAAAGGAACAGTCCATTGAAGACGGATACAATCATTAATAAAAACGTCTAGCAGATAAAGCACACAAAAAAATTAGCTGTCTATAATTATGAGTTATTTATAACATTTGGCTGATTCAAGTCATTTTCTGAACGAAAACAAATTGTGTTGTTCAAACTACTCGTTCATAGAAAAAAATGTTGTTGTTTTAATGCAACTGGCAATACAGAGACAATTAATCTTTATATCATAAGTAAGGGCTGCCACGTTGTTACTCATTTAGCACTACCCCGGGGGCCCATGTAACTTGAAGATATGCTATGGACGCGGAGTAACAATACCTCCACAACGCTGTACGATCATGTTAGATGGGGACTTACGGTTTAAAGTGGATTCCGAAACACTACAAACACCCATGGAGCCATCGGGACTCGAACCCGAAACCTGTGGTACCGAGCGCCAAAGAGCTAGCCACTCAACCATCAGGCCCAGAAAAGAAAATACTACTAAAAAAATACTTTAGTTCAACGTATAAATATTATGTTGCTATATACTTTATTTCAATGTGAAGATAAATGAAATCAAAACATACGGCAAAGGAATTATTGGCCGTTTGCACTCAGAAAAGTATTGAAATGACTTTCAAATAGCGTGGAAGGGCAAAGGGTTCTTCGACAGTTTAAAAACTACAGATTTAAATCAGCACTAAAAGCAATAGCATTGATCATACGCCGGGGATTTCTCAGGCTTTGTCTTCTCGCCTGTAACAGCCTGACTGTCAATGGTTATGCAAATAAAGAAATTATCAAGTAAGTTCTTTTTTTTTATTATTATTTCTGGATAACGGAATAATTATAAATTTTTATATAACTTGGTAAAATAAACTTTTTTGATTAATAATTTTCTTATATTTGATTGTCTTAATTTGTTCAAACTTGGAGAAATGAATTACCAGATGTGAATCAAACAAACAAAATACACCCAATACATTTAAAATAATTATCGATGCATTACAATAATTTACAAACAAAAACATTTACATCAAAAAGAAACATTTTTAGAGATAATTTTTTATTACAGATGGCTTCTACTATTACTACTACACCTCACCACATCACTGTGCCTAGAGCTGAGCTGCCCCTTTACAGTTAGGGAATGATGTGGGTGAGAAGAAGTTTGATTGGGCTCTGAGACAGTATGAGATTGGGACCTATGGCTTAAAGTGGAGTCCAAACACCCATGGAACCGTCGGGATTCGAACCCGAAGTCTGTGATACCGAGAGCCAGAGCCTAGACACTCGGCCATCAGGCCCCACAGAGGGCTTCAGATGACGATAGACTACTGAAAATATATGATATCCATCAGTAATAATTGTGTATCAAGTATGACCTTGATACTTTAAGAAATACATGGAAAAAGAAGAATTTCGATCCCGGCCAGGTTTTCATAAGAGAGGTGAGATTTGAATTTAGCGACCTTTAGGGATCAAAGGCGAAATGATGCGAATACTACATGTATGTAGTTACCTTGCATTGGAAAATAACATCATATTTCTTCGATAATGCAAATTGATCATTATTATCAAATTTTCATATTTCTTCGATACTCGATTCATAAAATGTTTAATCAACTTAAATGGGGTCTGAATGGCCGAGTGTCTTGCAACCTGGCGCTCAATGCCACAAGTTTCGGGTTTCGGCTCTTCCATAGATGTTTGTAATGGTTCGGGATCCACTTTAAGCCGTATATTCCGGTCTCATATGACTGCAAGAGCGTCATGGAGTTCAATCAGACTTCTCTCTCACTCATATCATTCCCAAACTGTATAGGGGCAACTCAGTTCTAGACGCAGTGACTTTGGTACTATTATTAAATATACGACTTTTAAAGGCTTAACTCAGTTCCTTCTAAATTTCTCAGCATTTTCGAAGTTCGAATCCTGGCGATGTCCTGGATGTTTGTTAGTGGTTCGGAATCCACGGAAATGTAGGTTCAGGTCTGTTTAGCCCTAGTGTGCACAAGATGACCGTAAAGCGACAAACCAAACCAAACCAAACCAAACTACGAACAGTGATGTGGTGTGGTGTAGTAGAAGTAATCAACTTAAATTTGCAATGACTATTCAAGTAGTGTGTTGCTACAAATGTTGCAGCAAATTCAACCTTGAAGTAGTACAAAAGCTTAAATAAAGAATAATTAATTTTTGCATGTCTATAAGAAAGAAAAAAAGTTCACCTATTTCATGAATCGGTTTTTAAACGCGTTTGTATCCCTCATTAAAAATAACAGATCGCATTTCATTAAAAAAAACCAGAGTACTTTCCATCTCATCTTCCGATCGCTAACGAAACCGAAACCCATCCACGTTGAAAGCTCCAGCGAAGCGTGACTATCTCTCTGAAGAAAAATGGCCAGCACTCTATCCGAGTGGTCAGGTCGCGTGCGTGTGGGGAGCCCCGCCCGGAAACACCGTCCGGGCCATTTCCGTCCGCACGCCCATCCATCAGCGGGAAATGAACTCATCCCCCTGCACCAGAAGAAGAGATAGCATCTGAACTCTCCTTTGCCACGCTTCGACTGCTGCCGGCATCAATGCATTTTGGGTCCGCAGGAGATGATGATGGACGTCTTGCGTCTTGGTGACTTCAGGGTCGCGGTTTGTTAACTGTACGTTTAGCCTGAACAAATGGGGGAAGGAGCTATTGTGATGTCCATGTTTGGAAAAGATGGTGGGTGCTGTAAGGAAGTTCTTCATTGTATGGAAGAGGATATTTACCAACAAACAGTTTTTTTTATCGAGATATCTGTTCAATTTCTGGCAACTGGCGTACCGATTACGAAGTATTAATAGGGATAGACCCCTTAACCTCCTCGTCTTACTTCATATGCAGTAGAACCTCCGTAAGTCGAACTTCAAGGGAGACGCCAAATAATTCGAGTTAGAGTTTTCGACTTGTGGAGGATTTCGACTTACGCTGATTTTGTAAGGAAATATTCGACTTGTAGAGGTTTAGATTCTTTCTGACTTATTTTGAGTTAGAGAGGTAAAATAAATAAAAATTCAAGTCACAGAGGTAATAAACATGTTTATTTGCAACTTGAAAGTTATATTATGTACCACAATAAAAAAAAATCAAAATTAGCCCGAAACAACCTTAGAAGTAAAAATATTTTATTTTATTTTTTCTTTCTAATGTAGCTGGCAAACATTTAAACAGCTTGGTCTTGAATGCCTTAAGGCAAGCGCTGCACAGACATTACTCACTTTACATTACCCAGGGGGCGCGTGTAACTTGATAAGCCACGGGCGCTACGATCCTATTAGACCGGGACCTACGGTTTAAAGTGGATTCCGAACCACTACACACATCTATGGCACCGCCGGGATTCGAACCCGAAACACGTGGTACCGAGCTCTAGCCACTCGGCCATTCAGGCCCAGAAGTAAAAATATTATGTATTAAAAAGTCGGTTTTTTTTTTCTGCTTTAGACAATTCGATCGTTCTCTATCTATAGCTGTAAAAAAGGTTGAATCAAACATTGCTAATGTTCGATATACAAAGGTCCAACTTTTACACCAGAATGATAAGTTGGTATGTTCAATTTGAAACTGTTCAATTCAGTCTATTCAATTTCAAAACTATAACTTCCTGAATTGACATTTTGATAATGAAGTAATAATTCAACTTAGTATGAGATTCAGATTGAAAATTTTATTAGTTAGCATTAATATAACATAACTTAATAATGTTGCAAAATATGTTTCGTAAATGGAATAGGGTATAATTTTAAAATGATCTAATTTAAAAATACGAAAAGCAATTCAATGACGTGACAAATTTTAGTGTTATGATGTTCAAGATCGTTGAGATTTATCAGGAAGCTTGCTGAAGCTATGAAAAATGACAAGAATAATGAAAGCAATTATACAATTAAAAAGTAAAAAAAAATTTTTCTTTAATGCCATTTGTATTGATGATATTCTTCTATTGAATTCATTGAGAGTAGTTGACAAATTGATGAAAAATGATTTGTGGAAGCCAATTAAATCGAGTGCAAAAAGGAAGTTAGCCATAATTTGATAGTATCGATATAACAAAACATACAATATTTAACACATTTAAGAGCATTTAATTATAGATTCGTGGAAGGATTCCATTTCTAAGCCGAGAACCCGATATTCAGGTACCAGCAGGGTTCGCGAAAGATATTTCCTCTCCGGGTGAGAGTCTGTAGGACGATTGATACGCAGGATTACGCTAAATATATTTTTCCTCTAGGGTTGTGAGACTATAAATTAAACATTTCTCAGTGGGTGCAAGTTGCGCTGTACTTCCTCTCGGGTGAGAAACTTGACCTACTAACCATTTCTTCTCAACGTCATAGAGGGCGCTCTTGCTAGTGTATAGGTGGAAGCACGGTTACAGTAATCAAATAAATTAAAGTATTGTTCAAGATTCAGATTTTATAAGACTTACATGAGTTATTAACTGCAATAGTGTTGGGATCATTCGATTATAATTTTTTTGAAATTATAAATATAAAAAAAATATTTTCTACTTAGTTTACTTATTTCAATAAATAAACTCAAAAGCATATGTTATTCTATTTTGATGATTTTTTTAAATGTAAAATATAGATATTTTATACGTCATTTTTTGCAAGATAACTAATTAAATTATTGCTTTGCGGTTTATAATTTGCATTCATTATCTTGCAGTTTATCTAAATAAATGCTTCATGAGGAATGGGTAATTGGTCTGAAGGAAGCATTGTTTTCAGTGCGCGTAAAGCCACTCACGTCCCAAAGGTCTCTGAGGAAATGGAAGGGTGTGAACCCGAAAATATCATTAGTGTGATAAAAGACATATTATTAGAGACACACCCCATAAGGGTATTACAGGACTGATATAAATAAATTACTCTGAAGATTTATATTGGGGGATATTAATTTAATTGCGGAAGATTTTATCTCAATAATTTATTACGATAT